TACCGGGGGTACCGGGAGCACCGGGAGCACCGGGGGCATCGGGGACAACTCAAACCGGGGGCAACGGGGGGCAACGGGGACAACTCAGACCGGGTGGGCTCGGGGGTGTCCCGGCTCTCCGTAACCCCCGGGGAGCACCGGGAGCACCGGGGGACACACGGGGAACACCGAGGGGCACCGGGGACACCTCGAACCGGGTGGGTTCGGGGTGTCCCGGCTCTCGGTGAGCCCCGGGGGACACCGGGAGGCATTGGGGGACACACGGGGAACACCGAGGGGCACCGGGGACACCTCGAACCGGGTGAGCTCGGCGTGCCCCGGCTCCCGGTGACCCCCGGGGGTTACCGGGGACGCCTCGAACCGGGTGTGCTCGGGGTGTTCCGGCTCTCGGTGAGCCCCGGGGGACACCGGGAAACACCGGGGGGCACACGGGGAACACCGAGGGACACACAGGGAACATCGGGGGGTACCGGAGGGCACCGGGGACACCTCGAACCGGGTGGGTTCGGGGTGTCCCGGCTCTCGGTGAGCCCCGGGGGACACCGGGAAACACCGGGGAGCACACGGGGAACACCGAGGGACACACGGGGAACACCGGGGGTTACCGGGGACGCCTCGAACCGGGTGCGCTCGGCGTCCCCCGGCTCCCGGTGACCCCCGGGCTGCCCCGCAGACCTGCGCTCACCGGTACGAGGTGCGGCACCGCGTGGCGCAGCCGCTGGAGACGCGGGACGTGATCGGGCGCTGCTTCGTGCTGAGCCAGGACCTGCGGCTGCGGGACGAGCTGGACGGCGGCGAGTGGAAGTTCTGCCAGGGCCGCCCGCAGGGCCACGAGCGCTTCGGCAGCTGCCAGCAGGGCCTGGCGGCCAACTTCAGCCCCGACCGCCGCTACCTGCTGCTCGGGGCGCCCGGCACCTACAACTGGAAGGGTGAGGGGCTGGGACCCCCTCCGGGGGGGGTTTGGGGTCTGGGGGTTTGGGGGCTGTTCCTGCTCGGGGCGCCCGGCACCTACAACTGGAAGGGTGAGGGGCACTGGGAACCCCCCCGGGGGGGTTTGGGGTCTGGGGGTTTGGGGGTCTGGGGGTTTGTTCCTGCTCGGGGCGCCTGGCACCTACAACTGGAAGGGTGAGGGGCCGGGACCCCCTTATAGTGAGGGTCTGGGGGTTTGG